GTCGTAGTACTGTACGTTGGCTAATGGGATGTCCCAACGCTGTTGCTGCCGTCGCTGTTACGAATCTGTTTCGCAGGTGAATGAGCCGTATCTGCCCGTCTTCCAGTGGTGTTGTCACTCGGGGTCGTCCGGTTCTAGGCCTGTCCCGTGTCCTCCCTGTCTGCCTGTACCGTTGAATCAGCCTAGCTACTGTCAATGGTAATCAAACCTTCTGGCAATTTGGACCTGTGTTGCCCCCATTTCGGCCATACCGATAGCTCTCTCTCTCTGCTCCTGTGACAGTCGTGGCATTTCTTTTGTGTGCTTTCATCACGTGTGGTTATACAGTTCAGACGAACGCATTTATACAGCTAACATGCACGTGCAGTTTATGCCATAGGCGGGAAACCTGTTTCACCAATTTTTTTAATCACCGCAGGAGCGCCGTCAAAGGTGGCGCGATCGGGTGAGGTGTTTTTTGGTACCTGTTCCTGGGTTATCATATTCCCAATACCCACTTTCCACAAGTTATCGCCGTTTTTAGGAAAATTACAAATTGCCAACCTATACTTTCTATTGCCGCTCAGTTTATAAGTTGCAGTTATGTACATATTAGCAAGAATTGTTTTTCATTTTCATATATTTTCATCCTAACAATTTTGCTAAGTGATTGTTTGCCGAAAAGTGGTTTTGTCTTTCCCATGTTTTCAGTGTGCAGCATGAGGTTTCAATATGGTCATTCACATCAGTCGTATGTCATCAAGGTTTGTTAGCCTTGTTTTCAATCAAGGGCAACCAATGCCCTCGACTCATTCTAAATACACAAAACAGTGACATGAGGATTTTGACGTTTACATGTGACCCTGAAGACTTAGGGATTTGTCTCAAGCCCTATAGCCATGTAGACACTAGGCGTGCTTGTTGCTTCTGCTGCCAGTATTGGCGGATTTGGCCCTGGTGTCAGTGTCACCGCCGTGAACCCAGCAGGTAGTAATTAAGGAATCCCAGGTTACGGTCTTTGTTCCACATAATGGTAATCAAAGCAAATCTTTGATCAATTGTCCAAGTCTAGACAATGATGACAGGTTCAGTTCTGGGAAAGTATCAAACCTTTAACCGCGGGTAATATAATAAAATATAATATAATATATAAAGATTTGAACGCTGTTATACATTTCTTGGTTCTTTTTTTTTGGCCACGCCTTCAAATATTGATGTGCATGTGTGTAGTTTAGCTGCGTGTTGTGCTGATTAATTATATTATTATTCAGAAGCAAATCTATGACTTCGTAATCAGATAACCAGGAGCTCCCATAAATCCAAATGTTTAAATCATCTTACTTTGTCGGAAATCACGCTAATCAAAGACGTTTGGATTGTCGACGTTCTGTTGTAAAAGGTCTTCGCGATAAATACAACATCTACTAGGCATTATTTACGAGCAAAACAATTCATAATGAAATTACATTATAATAAAGCCGACGGGGTCGTTCGATATTCACGTGGCATCTATGACAAAGCTCGATAGCCTTGAAACAGATAACAATAATAATAATGGCAAAAGAAGTATAATTTTATAGTTCTGATGACGTTGAAGCCGTTGGGTACAGGTAACGCTCATTATACAACGAACATGACACACAGAAAACGTGACTTCATCAACAACGACAGTGGTGAGTCAGCACCTTCTTATCAATTGTTCAAATTAGAGATTCGCCCTCAGTATGACAGCGTAAGTCTACTGATCCGTTCAGGGTTATAGATTATACCAAAATGATTCTAATTGTATATGTTTTTTGCAATGGATAGTAATGACTATACATGAATTTTTGTGTTGCACTGCCGTTCTAAGGGGACGTCTATCCGCCTACGGAGAAGAAGTATAGGAGTGGATCTGCAGCAGAGTGAGTAGGAGTACATCTAGGCCATTATTACAATGCTGGGACAATCCCGAGTGGTCTTACACGTTAAATATTTACGTCCTCAATTTAGATATGAGTGAATGTGTTCAAATGCCGATGGATTTACGTTTTCGTGCGTCGATGCCACGTGATTCCACATCATGTCATGGATTTCTTTGACGTACAAAGGTAACGAAATCGATCTTTGATAATGTCGAAATGCCAGTTTCGTGCAACAGCCGTTCGGCAGGTCTATTTGTGGAGGCGGAATGCGAAAATGACGTCTATAAATACATTGTAGCATGTCCCAGACAATGCTGTGCAACTGGTCAATACATAGTAAACCGATAGTTTAAATCAGTGCATGAAATGACCCTCGGATGTAACAATATGGCAATTGGGGATATATAATACGGCCTTGATAAATATTCATTGGTGGGATGCATGAACATTTCTTTATCCGATACTCGTATCCGTTACGGAATCAAGACTACCATGTAATACAATCTGTAGATCTTTCTGGCTAAATTTCCAATTATGCTCTACGAGGTGTTAACAGACATATATATTATCCACGTTCTACTTACAGGTGGATGTCTCGAAATAAAATCATGAACACATTCTTGCCAATTTCCCTATTCGATACATGTAACTCTCCCACGCGTCTTAAAACGACGCTTTAATATGCATTCACCTTCAAAAGCTAATATTGTATGCTGACGTTCAACGGTAAAATCAGGTCAGCTTTTTGTATTTGTATGACTGGTTAGGTCACTGTGTATCAGCACTGCCTATTTCGTCACAAATTTAATTCAAAGTGCCAAACTGATGGAGTAGCGAGTGTTCGGTAGTCATCCTTCATACCACAATAATTGTGCATTCGTACTCTAAAGACTTTAACGTATAAGTACCTGTACAGGTATCATTAATCATGTATCGTACCTGAAATAATTAACGCATTTGCACCGGTACATGTGTACCAGTCTACTGGCTTGAAAGATCTATCACGCGGCTGCTATATTGTATATTGCGCAACCCAGATATACAGCAGAACTAAGACAGGTTTGACTTGAAATGAACTCTGAAGCTCCCGGTAGAGAATAGGTCTTCAGCAACCCATGCTTGTCGTAAGAGGCGACAATGCTTGTAAGAGGCGACTAACGGGATCGGGTGGTCAAGCTCGCTGAGTTGGTTGATGCATGTCATCGTATCTCAATTGCGTGGATAGATGCTCATGATGTCAGTCACTGGATTGTCTGGTCCAGACTCGATTATTTACAGATCGCCGTCATATAGCAGGAATATTGCTGAGTGCGGCGTTAAACAATAAACAAACAACAAACTTGAAATGGAAACCTTTCACACTTGGTGTCTGAAAACCAAAAAGTTTTTTTTATATTTTAATTCAATTCAGGCCATGTAGGGAGTACATCATTTGGTGATAAAATCTGTCTTTTGCATGTTTTTGTTAACACTGCCACCGGAGGAGCAGGATACGCTTACATTTTAGCCAACACCTAGTATCACAAATATTTCCATCAACACATGCTTATTTTATAGTCGGAATCGTGGATGGACGCTGCTTTCAGCAGAGAGTTCTTTTGATTAGGGAATCGGTTTTGTCTTTTGTTTTGGTGGAGCCTCAGTGGAGGTCAGTTGAGCCTCAGTGGAGGTCAGTGGAGCCTCAGTGGAGGTCTATACAAACAACATAACCAGTACTCATGGTCCGGTTCTATTGAAATGTGACATTTGACTAACTACATTGGGCTTGTATTTGGCTAAACAGAATTGCTAATAATGACCCTCCTCAAGATTTATGTCTTTTTATTTAACAAGCAGCTGAACGCAGACGTAACCTGAGGCTCCAGATAATGAACGTGTTAATATTTAATAACAAGTTGTTGAGCTTGATTAAATGCCGTTGAAAACATGATTTACTTCTTAATGTAACAATGTAACATGTAAATTGGCTGAGAGTAGAATGCGTCCTCCATGTTCTTCTCTGATTATGTACTGTTATTGTCCGGATTTCACCGCTTCAGACCACAGGTTTATTCACATGCCTTCCTCCAGTGCTTGTTTAATCGATACTTGGGCTGGTGCTCCGCTGACGCACATACCCAGTTATGTAGCGCCTTCATAAACAGGAAGAAACGTGACACGATCGTCGACGTTGAATGTGCAATCAATAATAACGGTAAAAATGACAAAAGTTAATGATGAGCGAGAAGATGAGCATGATGGAATGTAGAATGACACTTCATTTACATCTATGCCGCTTCTTCCCGCTTTGAGTCATGACAAAAACGTATGAATGTGACACGTGGACATGTTTAAACCATTGTAATTTTGAGAAAACTCTCAAGGATCTCTGAACAGAGAGTGTGCGACTAGCCAGGAGATATATGTTAACAAACACGTTTCCTCTCACGAAAAACGAAGTCATCACTGATTTTCAGCAATTAAATGATATAACTTTTACCGCTATTTTGCCTTTTACGCCAATGGAAACCGTTTCGGTGGATTAACGAATCTGGTTACTATCTCGCGTGGATGTTATGTACTTCAATATGGCAGGACGGTTCAAGGAGTAGAAGAAACAGATTGCTTGCAACGAAAACATTTAAAACACCCGCAAAAACATACGCATCACAATTAGCATAGAGAGGTATACATGTCAACCATGTGTTCACAATACGTCAAGCGTTTCTAATATTACAGCCACATTGTTGAAAAAGTAAGAATTGATACCAATAACTTCTTGGACTTTTTGCAATAGGACCAAATGAGATGATATAAAAACGTTTCGTGAAGTATCCGAAAACATACCAAAATCCAATTCCATTTAATGTTTTTTAACCATTCAGTCATTAATATGGATTACGGACGTACAAACTTATATAACTTCATATTGGACAAAGACATTTGGAAATGAGTTATTATATGAACAAATAGAGAGCCCACTTGAACGGATTAACGAGGTTTAAGTTTATATAGGCATGGGTATCAATATAATGAAATGAACTATCGTACATTTAACACATTCATATACGCCTGCCTGAAACTTGATCCGCGATTGATAGAAAAAGGTTTCTGAAATTTATTGATTTTTATAATTACCTGATGAGAAATCAATCACAATGCTTCAGGATGCACTCCACATCAAGGCACTTGTCTCTCAGGTAATATCACACCTGTACCAGTCTCAAGTGTGCTACCACCATTCAACATCGCAGACAAATTAACCACGAACTGATCGATGTCTTACTATCTGTTGGTTTTGTTGACGGCCGCGCATGAGCAGAGATGGTAAAATACTAGACGTTATCAATTAGCAGCATGAGAAGACCACGCCTTCTGAGAGATTTGGCCCGCACTCTGGACACGGGCTTCTTGATGTCCCTGGTGTGAACAGCTCTGTGTGGTTGCTATGTATTGACGAAAGAACCGCATCATCAACAGGTCTTGGGCTAAAATAGCAATCCCCTTGAGCTTGGCGCATCGGAATAATTTCGTTGTTCAATCTTTGGCGAATAGAATATGGGCCAAATGACATTGTGTCTGTTCAGATAATCCGTTTGATTAAGTCCAGGGTATAAGTGAACATTCCTAAGTTATCAAAGGCGAGAATAGACACTTAATTGTAACAAGCAGTAAAACATACTGATGCACTGGTAGTCAGTTTAGTTTCAGATTGAAGTTTTACAGCCTCGATCAGTTTGTTTTCTTCTTTATAAATCTTTGTGACCTACTCCGTGGTCTAGTGGTAGAGGGTCCGCCCGGAGAGCGGAAGGTCAGGGGTTCGATACCCTGCCGCGTCATACCAAAAGACGTTAAAAGATGGTACTTGTTGTTACCCTGCCTGGTGCTCGGCATGAAGGAGCTTAAACAAGGACTGGTCGGCTCGGAGTCAGTATACTGTGTCTGAGTGGGGTATTCATGTTAAACTGCGGCATGGTATATCAGTGAGCTAGCACTATAAATCGGCATCAGTCCGAACTAGTACAAGCAGCCACACACACACATGTGCATGCACGTCGCTTTATAAGTGAAAACATCTTGGACGCGACGATAAACCCCATTTCACATCACCTCTAAATCTTTGACATTAACGTGACATGTATACCCTAACCAATCACAGATTATGCAGTTGTGTGAGTTTCTGTAATTTCTGTAAATGTCATTTCAAATCGATTACTTTGTTATCGGGCGTCACATGATCACTACACAAGCAAATACGGAAAGGTGACTATGAAATACGATGCATAAATATATGGCAGGACAATACTTTCAGAAAGAAGCCCATGTGTGAAGCCCATTTGTGTCCCCCGCCGTCATATTGCTGCAATATTCCTAAAAGCGGCGTAAAACCATACTCACTCACTCACTCACTCACTGTGTAAGGAACTCGTATTGATGTGTCCAATTCCAAGAGTGTCATCATTTTGTTCTCGTTTCTGTTTACTGTGGGAGATTTATCCTATTCACTATGTAACTCAAACAGTATTATTATATTATATTATATATTATATCTGTTAATGTGAGTGAGTTTGGGTTAACGCCGCTTTTAACAGTATTCCAGTCATATCACGGCGTGTCAGCTTAATGTGGGAGGAAAGCCCCAAGTGATGCAGGTCTTAGACGTTTACCACTTCGGCGAAACCCACGAGCACGGGTATGGTGCTGACAAACCTAGAAACATAATCGGGGCGAACCTGGATTTGAACCCACAATCATAGGTTTCTGGCGTGCCCAAGGGACTTATATCTGTTAATCACCCTATACCCTTAGAGGAACGATTCTTACATCAATATATCACAGTATCCGATATGAACGGCTACTTCCAATAGCCGAACATGATGCATACAAGCTACACACGTTACGCATATTGAATATTTCAAAGATAGCATCACACCATCAGATACAGTTACATGTAAGTAGCATAAGCTTACACAGTGTTAGTGTTTTCAAGTGGGGAGGTTTTCTGAGGGGTTAGTTGGTAAGTTTGACTACTATTCTATTGTTAAACTCCAAAAAAACACATTGCCAAGACGTTCAACCTCTGTTTCAGATATATAGATGATAACGTATTGGTTGGTGAGACGTTAGACAACAAACACCTACTTTTTGTGACCTGCGGGTGCAACGGGACACGCTTTCCCTTTTCGCGATCACCTGGTGTCATCACTGATTTAATTTTTCAGCGACCCATTCCTATAATTTTTGTCATTATTTGCCGTCTGCGACCAATGGCATCGGTTTCGGCAGATAATCCAGACTCTCATATGAAGCGTTACACAGATTAAGGCAAGATATATGTACATACAGAAGAGGTACGTGTCATTTAAACTGGCTGGTTCTAAATAATTCTTTTGATAAAGGTCAATGCAATTTATAATTCTCAAGGCTTACTTTTAGTCAGATGGACTCTATATTGAGAGTAATGGTTTGTAACATCTGACTCATGCTTATAACGTCAGTTTTAGCCATTAATTCAACTGTGCCTTGTGAATGTACACAGATAGGATAATGTTATTTATAATTCTCAAAGTCATAGGATACCTACTCACTTCGACACCTCACACTAGTACTAGTGTACCGTTTGAGTTGTTTATCTCAGAGTGAACATGTGTTGCCATAGCAACAATGACCAGACCTAAAAATGTCGGTCAGAATCTGAAATTGTTTTCGCCGTACCCTGCACTGCATATATATATGCATAACAAATTGAACTATATTGAGAGTGTTATTCCCAACGTTTATTTACAAGGTGACGATAAATAAATATTCAAAGTAGCTGAACGTGTTATTATGTATTTGGTAATCGGTGTTTGTCAAATCTCTAAGGATTCGCAGTTTCAGCCCCAAAGAGACGTCAGAAACGTTTACATTGCCGTGATGAAAAGGAAACAAACTTAACACATTCACGACCGAAACGGGACATATGTCGTCCTTAGTATAGTCTGACAATAAAAACATATAAAACATTGACAGGAGCGATAACAAGACATCAGATTATATCTGGTACAGTCATTAAACATTTACAACAAGTCAGCAATAGCTACGTGGCTTATGTATATATGTAATACGGACGTCATTGGGTACAACTCCCCTCCACCGCAGTCCGTGAAGGTCAGTGGTGCAATCTATATCTACAGTATGAAAAGTGTAGTCACTCACATCTTACCATGGACCGTCCAGAGGGAATCACAGAACCACTAGTAATGTTAATTCTCCTATCACTAAACTCGCTGTTAACGCATTAAATCTGGTACCAACAGAGCAAGTGCCAGGCGATTGGAAATGTAACTCTCTGTCCCTGTAGCTCACCTGCTTCTATATTCCATGACTGAACAGTTCAACGCAATGAGTTAAATAAAAGCGACACAATCTTCTCAAAACTCTTAAGTCATATTAATAAAATCTACAAATCTATTTCAATATGCATAAGAAATATCTGCTTTAAGCAGATTCCTTTGTACGGTGCCGCCTGTATCATAATATGTGTTTATGAGTGCTGATACCGAGTGTTCGCGAATAGGTAAGCGTATCCAGCCCTCTCGGTGCAGAAATAGTTCCTCAGCTCTGGTTCAGTGGTACCATTCCAAGTTCCACCCAGGGTTTGAAACACCTTTCCTGATACAACCAACGAGCCAATAGAAGCCACAGAATTGTTATATCTGTTTGTAGAAACCCCATTAACATAGGTTTGACATTTAAGATGAAGGCTTTATCATCTTTCTCACATCGAATGTATTTTCAATTTCTATTTACTTAAATGCTTCAACAGAACGCATTGACGCAGATTGGTAAGACAGGAATAATACGTCATGAGTCATGTTGAAAACATGTATATGTTTACAGCAGTTGGTGGTAACGGTCAAGATCGTGATGTTATTTTGTATTCCAGGCTATATTTTCAAAGGTTACAGTTTTATTCTGTACATTTACTTTCAGCAATAAATGGTATAGATGAGATCTGGATTACAATATTAAACCATATATAGCGCTTACATGTGTCAATTTAACCTTTATGTATACGTAGACATGACGTAGTATAATGTGCAGCATTGTATCTCAGTGGGCGAGCACTATAAATGTAGTACAAGCACACACACACACACACACACACACACACACACACACACACACACACACACACACACACACACACACACACACACACACACGTCCATGCACGTCTATATATAAGTGCAATACTCTCGAACGCTTGTCTTTAAAGTATACTTCCACCGTTTACATAAACGTCTTGATTTTCCCTTTCACATCGTACACATTTATTGATCAAAACCGTTTAGGAACACATTGTGCATATATACAAACGTCAACACATGGTTACGGCTACATACTACAATTATATCTACACTTACAACGTTTCGTCAATTGGTCCAACATTCCCATACAAAGTTTATGTCTTCCCATATTCCGTATGTAAACACAGCGGACACAGGAACGTTTACGTTGACACACGTAACGGTCTACATACATAGCGTCTAAGGTACATACAAACGGTCTACATACATAGCGTCTAAGGTAAAAACAAACGGTCTACAAACATAGCGCCTAAGGTACAAACAAACGGTCTACATACATAGCGTCTAAGGTACATACAAACGGTCTACATACATAGCGTCTAAGGTACATACAAACGGTCTACATACATAGCGTCTAAGGTACATACAAACGGTCTACATACATAGCGTCTAAGGTACATACAAACGGTCTACATACATAGCGTCTAAGGTACATACAAACGGTCAACATACATAGCGTCTAAGGTACAAACAAACGGTCTACATACATAGCGTTTGAGGTATATACAAACGGTCTACATACAAAGCGTCTAATGTACATACAAACGGTCTACAAACATAGCGTCTGAGGTACATACAAACGGTCTACATACATAGAGTCTAAGGTACATACAAACGGTCTACATACATAGCGTCTAAGGTACATACAAACGGTCTACATACATAACGTCTAAGGTACATACAAACGGTCTACATACATAGCGTGTGAGGTACATACAAACGGTCTTCATACATAGCGTCTGAGGTACATACAAACGGTCTACATACATAGCGTCTGAGGTACATACAAACTGTCTACATACATAGCGTCTAAGGTACATACAAACGGTCTACATACATAGCGTCTAAGGTACATACAAACGGTCTACATACATAGCGTCTGAGGTACATACAAACGGTCTACACACATATA